CAGGTATCTAATTAAGGAACATCCCATTTCTCTCCGTACTGGAAAACTCACGTATGGGACAAGCATTCCTTCATCTCAGAATCCTAGTCATGCAGCTGGCACCCTGATCTACCAGCCTTCATGTTTCTTTTCCTCCCAAAGTAACCAGTTCTTACTGGTTTATATCTAGTAATAAAGAAAAACAAGGATGTAGGTTACACAAAGCCTATTACTATTGGAAAGCAAGCTGTAACAAAGTGACAAACTCAAAAATCTTGTGCTAAAATTCAACTGATAATAAATTACCACAGTCATCAGTAAAATTCCAAACCCCACTCCCAATAAACCATCCAAAAGAGTGAGCCATGTTATCAGTCTTAAGCAATAGATAACTTAAAACAACACAAGGCACCAAGGTTTGTGAAACACTGTCGTATCACCCCTCCTCCCCTCAAAAGACAACACACATGCAAGGGCCGATTTGCTTATCAGAAGCGTGAGCATCCACATAACTACTGGGAAAATCCACACAAACACTGATACAAGTCAGAAAAAGTATGATGTTTGACCAAAACCGGTTAAGTATCAAAGGGGTATTAGTTCTCTCTGTCAAAAACACACTGAAGAAAGCTTCTCCATGTACATCAGTTCTCACCATGCTATCACACAGGGCTGAGCCCCATTTTTCTGAGGAAGCTCATGAAGAGGTGAAGTTGATTACAAGCTTGCACAGCAGTTAGCAGCTTTCAGACATGTCAAATTTGAGTTTGGTACTGAACTACAGTTACCTCACTGACATGGATGGGTAATTTACCTACAGAAGGGAAATTTCATTTCTCATGTTTCTGCACTGTGAACTGTAAAACACTTTGTTCCACTGGGATAGGTGGCACGAGTTTAGGATTTCTCCTTGACTCCTATAAGGGCTCATAACCAGTAAGCAGCAATGAGAAACTGTGGAGGGAATCTGCTGAAGCACAAGCCAATCTAAATCAATTATCCCTCCAGCGTTTCCAGTACCTGCCAGCAGCTGTGAGGTTAACACATCAGACCCCATGACACTACATACTAAAGTACAGCAAAATGACAGCTCTACACTATCAGTACCTTCAGGGTGACCACTGACAACCGAGATGGCCCAGTGCTAAGGCAAATTCCATTTACAGACTGAGAACTAGATTAAGCTAAATTTGCTTGTCAGCATGGAAAAAAGGGGAAAAAAAAACACCTAACCAAAAAAACAAACCAAGCACTTTGGGGAGTTAGCTGTCACAGTGCAGTCTCATTTGATTCAAAGTATATATTCACAGCTAATCAATCTAACCTGTAATTTAAAGCTGTGCTTGTGTCCCTACTGGCTCTTTAGTGACATTTCTCACATTTATGAGAAAATCCCTTTCTGCTCTGCCAGAGGACCAACTAGGTTACTCAAGCCTCTGTCAGCTCTTAACAACGCAAATGCAGCAAGGACAAAGCCACATAGTTTCCCTACACGCTAAAATAAGGCAAGTTCGCAAGGTAACTTCTCAGTAAGGCTACTGCTCAAAACACTGCTTTCCAAAGATATTCTGAATCATAAAAGACAACTCCAGACCAAATCTTTACAGAGGTGTATGGCTGGGTCCACAACAGCCATAAAAGAGGAACATTTGTTGGAGTCATGGTTAAATCCCCCAGGAAAAAACAGCTTCATTTAGACAGAAGACAGGATGGATAGAACCTTCTAAAGACTGATACAAGATGATGAAGCATATACTCCCAGAAATTAAGACCACCCTATTTTGTTATCCGAAACAGTATTTTCAATAGAAGACAGCATACACTGTGAGGGTGTTTCACATGTGGGTGTATGATAAGACACACAACAGAAGCAGCACTGTACCACAACCACCGCCGTAGGGAAAACATGCATCTATGCCTGGGGTTAAGTCATGTTGTTTCATAAACTCCTGATAAAACACTGAAGTACCTTAGTGATTAACATACTACAAAGAAATATGAAAGAGAAAGCATTGTACATAACATTCTCTCACAAATCGTACAGTTCAATACTTAGGTGTTTCTTCTAAGTAGTCTGTGACTAAACTGGATGAAACAGAGATTTGCAAATAACAGGAACTAATTAGGGATTAGGTACTATTGTCATGGTGCACATGCTTCAAGCAACTAAATCAAATAAGTGTAAACTCATGACCTTGCCTTCCGCTGCTGAGGGTCTTTAGTCACAAGCATACTCTTGCAGCTGGGAGGGATAGCATTACATACTAAAGTCAGCAAAAATGGCTCAGCCATTTCCAAGAACAGTTAAAAAAAAAGTGTACTTTTTTCTAGCCACTTGGAAGCACTAGTATTTTCATGCTTTCCACCAAAGAGCAAATATTTGGCAGTGAATCGCTGAGATCAAGAACATGCTTCTAGCCATAGATCTGGGAAAAAAAAAAAGTCTGCATTTATTCAAGAAACCTTTGCTAGTCATTGCATTTAATTTTTTCCCCCGTAAACTGGATCTGTGCTTAGCATACACTAATAATTCTAAGTTCCTATCCCATTGCTACACTGCACATGCAACATTCCCACAAGATGAATGAGCATACTTCAGCCAGTGCTATGGCAACACAGCAGGACTTGTTGGAATAAGTTCTCTGATGCTAAAGAAACTAGGGAGACCATCTTTATTTTTCTTAATACCATCCTAAACATGCCCAAATAGCTCAACTTAAACACCAGGGACACACAGGAACTGCACCAGAAGACAGAAGTGGAAAAGCTAAGACCTCTTACCATTGGAAGGAAAAATGAGGGGCAAAACTGATGGAGTAAGACTGAACTCACATGAAAGGCTCACAGGCAGTAGCAATGGCAAGAAGTACATTTAAGATGCAAAAAAAAAAAAAAGAATGGGGCAACAAAAGCAGAGAGGTAGGCGATCAGAAAAGTATATTGAGCCAAAGGAGAAAGGGCTAAATCCAGCAAAGGAAGAAACACCATGCAATTGTTCAGTTACAATGATTTTTTTTTTTTCTTTCACATACATCATGGTAGTCTTATTTCTCAGCTTCTGAATGTTGAACCCCTGCAATTTGAACGGCATCCCTCTAACAAAATGTATGTAATATATAGACTCCCATATAATTTTACCAATTTACTTAAATGGGGGAAAAAAAAAGCACTACAAAAGATTGCATAGAACCCTACACACACTTAATAAAAATATACTGATTTTGAGTCTGCTATTAAAAGCATGCTGCTCTTTCATTTTAAGCATCAAATCAAGAGTTTAGTAATATGACATGTTCTTTTGCTATTAAAAAAGTTATGTGTTTTCATAAAAAGTAATTTCAGGTTACATGTGAAATATACAGACATGGATTCAAAAGCAAACAAAAGAAAGGAAATAACATCGCCATTTAAAAGTACATTTTGTCTCTCTGAGGCATACTCTTATAAAAAGCACTAGATTAAAGCTATTGTGTTAAAAACATGGTCCTCAAGCTCCTTTTGACTTTGGATAACAGTATTTTATAAGCTTAGGTCAAAGGCCTACACTAACTTCTTAAAATCTCAGGAAAAAAATGCTGCAGTTTTGGAAAATGGTAGAAAAACATAGTTTGCAGAGGATTTATGACAACTGAAATTATTTTAAATGTAATTGTATTTTGCACAAGATCTCCTACAATATTTGTAGACTAACAATGCACTAGATGTCATTTCAGAAGTAGTAGATAGATGGGGACTAAGCAGTTTCAGTCACTGTTAATCTTGCTTTCACAGCCCTTACTCAGCGATAACCTTCAAGATAGCTAAAACAAAGCTAGAAAAACATGGCCAGGAATGGAAGACAGGTATGTGAGAGAAGGTTTTCTTAATGCCAATAGCAACACACAAAAGGTAACAGGAACTCATAACCACTCAAGAAGGAAAAGCCAAATCTGATGTTTAAAACACAACTCGAATGCCATCACCTTTCCTTTCAACTTGTAAAGAAAGTCTCCTAACAGAATAACATGCTAATCACCATTTTGCTTTACTTTCACCATATAGACAGCATCAATAAATCACCTGCAACAAATCAGTACTTTACTGTGAATTCTTAACCTAGTTTTTGTTATAATTGATTATTCTATTTCATTGCAAAGCTTCAGAAAGAACTTAAGCTTCCCACCATCAACAATACCAGCTAGAAGCTCCTTACAAGGATGAACCCCATTTGCATTCAAAGTTTCTTGCCAGAATAACCACCACAAAATAACCACCGGTACCAACTGACTTGCCCAAGAGTTGTATAAGGTGCCTCTCTTGTCTGTTTGATGAAAGTACAACTTAAAAATCACAGCTGCCTAGGTTTTGAGAGAAAAATATATTTGACCCTCATTGTTATAGGTACCTTTATTTGCTAACACCTCTAAAACAAAACTCCAATGAGCTCCAGGTAGTCCCAACAAACTGCTTTTCTCTGTTTCATAGGACTTTCAATTGCTTTTCGTTACACCTAACTATCCACAGGGGTCACCACCTTTTGCATCACAAGTAAAAAATTAAGTATGTTTGAAAAAAGCAAAACTGTGTACAAGAAGTGCTTATTCAGAGTCTGCATTGAAAGGAGAGAATTTCATTATCCCTCCTGTGACCAGACTTGCTGAAGTAATTTGCTCTGGATAGTGAGCAGTCCAATTAGGATCTGAAAGCAGATGAGCAGTCTTATCTTAAAACTCAAGTTTTCAGTATCAGTAAGCCTCCGTTTCACATAAGGGTCTCCATCTCCCCAGGGGCACACCAAGAAAGGTAGAAGTCTTCATTGCTGCAGTTTTGGCCTGTGTTGCTGTCTAGAGGTGTGGATGTACACTGTACCTGACACTGATCCCATGGAATGTCACATTCCTGATTACTGCTGCCAGTCTAAGGAAAGCCAGGTAGGAAGCAGCGATACAACAAGCGTTAACCCGCTTGACGTTTTCAAGCTATTTCAAACGAGCTTGGAAGATTTCCAAACATCATTAAACGCATCACTCAGGTTTACTCACAGATCGCACCTTTGAAGGCACATCACAGTTAAGCAGTACTTACAGACCTAATAATAGAGGAACAAAGATTGCATTTAAATGGGAGTTCACCAATCCTTAAATAAAATCTGCATTAAGACAGACATTATTATTAGTGTCTATTAGAAAAAGTGAGCAGATAATGCAATTTACCACAGTGTTAGGCTTTAGAAAACAGCTTCTGGAAGATGAGTTTCTTCTTCTTCCAATGCCATCTACATATTCGTTCATATTTAATTTTTTAATATTTATATACACACACGTGCATGAAATAATCTGAAACCATCTCAGAAATTTAACAAGAAATATCACTGACCAGAGAACCATCAAATTAAAATACTACTTTTCCATGTTTCCCTGTTTTTCCAATTCAAAATTTATGTTCTCACGGAGATAAAAAGAAAGAGTAATACTACTGTTTCATCAAGACAATTTGTGAGACAGCATTATTTGATAATGAAAATGAATGGGTGAAAATACTCATTTTAGCACAACATAAACAAATGTAAGGCATAGATGCATATATGCCTGCAGGAGCGTATGTGCGCATATATGTTACCTAAGCAAATGCTTTTTATATAAAGTTTATTTTAATCTTGCCTATTCCTATATAATTAAAAGCAGTATTTTGATCATCTTTTGTCAAGTCAGTTAACAATTTCCCCAGCCTAGAAGTGACAACTTCCACATTTGGTTAAATTTACTTTGCTTTCTTTAAGACTTTTAGTTGGAGAAACAATCTGATGTGCTATAAAAACAAGCCGTAGGAAAGCAGAATGTTTCTAAAAGCAAAAGGCAACTTCCTTAGAATTTTTTTTTTTTTAAATTCCTAACAGAAAAAACCTACTTGCTGAGTCTGGTGTGGGCCACTGACGTTCAGAATATGCATATTCAACCTTTGAGAGTCCTTCCAACGCAGTCACCCTACCTTTGGTGGTCCATCAGACCCAGATGTAGAGGTGATGGACAACTGTTCAGGGCAGCAGAGCTGCAGCTTTAGGGAACAGAAAGGCAGACACGCATTCACCTTCTACCTTCCAGCAGCTGCAGTTGTCCATTTGTTATTTGACGACTTGTCCTGGTTTGTTAGGCAGCTAACTTCCCATGCAAAGAGAATCATCTTACTGAAGTGGTTTAGGTACCAAACCCAAGCAACTTTCAAATCCAAAAGAGAGCTGTTCGCAGCTTTCTGCTTGCAAACGGTGCCCATATCCCTAACTGTTGGGTAAAGAGATGAAACAAGTAGGGAAAAGGAGATACATGTCACTGCACTGGTATTTTCTCAGACCAAGGTCAGTGCCCTTCAGGGCAAGGTGGTAGCATATAGAGATGGAACAAAATGTGCCTACGCTGCTGAAAAACCATGAACTAGCCCTTGTTTTGAAGCACTCTACAGAATACACACATTAGGGACCTCTGGTACTTATGACTACAGAAGAATGGTTAAGGTATAAATCTGTTTAACACTATCTCCTACTTAAAAAAAAAAAAAAAGGCAAAGAAACCTGAGCGATGAGATTTATAAAATCTATATTAATCTTAAATGGTTCAGCAGATTAGCCGCAACCATTTCAGAATGCACTCAATGGTTGATAGCACTGAATAACCAGTTTACTATCAGGAACTGGACTGCATGTTTTCATTACTATTATCTGTAAGGACATTTTTTCTTGCTCACCTTAGATTGCTGGCAAAGTAAATCTCAACACTGAACAGTGGACTGAGAGAAGGTTTCAAGAATTCCAGTGTCAGTATGGCAAGCCAGTCCATGAAACTTTTTTCAGCAGTGTTTCCCCCCACCCTTAATATCACGTATGCTTAAATATAGCATTAATTGACATTAAATCATCATTGAAGTAACTACTAAATAAAGCCAACTTTAAAAAACTTAAGGTTTTGTGCAGGTTTTTTTAATATTCAGGACAGTGGAAAACCAAAAAGATTCTGCAAAGAATCCCTATAATAGCAAAAAACCCCAGATTTTTGTAACCAGAGCAGAACCATCTACAGGTTTTATAAAACCAGAGGCTAGAAATCACACATCAACTGTGTCAAACTACAGTTGAGAACACAAAGAAACTATCATCTGGATGTTTCAAAAGTGATAGCTGAATTACTGGAGAGTAAGGTAAATGTAAATCTCCTTGTTGAGTCAAACTCAACCTCCACATACTGTGCTTAGGCACTATAAATTCATATTCAAAAAACTCACCGAATTCCTGGATAAGTGTCCCAATTTCAAAGATAATCCGAATACAAGATAAACTACTGAACCCAATTATACTGTTATTAGAGGTCTAAAACATTCTCTTTCAAGACCATTTGGAAGAGAGAGAGATTCTCCTTAAGGCCACAAAGCTGTTGTCCATTCTGCTTATTCACAAGCAGGCTTTAAAACACGTGGAATGTGAAAGAAAATTGATGTATTTATTATTTGGGCCATTTATCATTCTGGAAGTTGACACATCAACATAAAATACTGAAAGGAAAGCTGCAAAAGATTTAACATCAAAAGATAAACACAAAAGTTTCAATAGCTTCCCCTCCCCCCCAACTATTTCTCATCTCATCCAAGGAAAACCAAACATATTCCTAGAAATTCTAAAGGAAACATTCCAAAAACTTTGGGATCATTTCCAAGTCTCTTCCATGTCAACAAAGAGGACACTATCCTTCTTTTTTTTTTTTTTTATCTTGTGAATCTCTAAATACAGCTTTCCAGTTAAAAAAGAAAAGACATAGATTACCATGTATAATCAACCAAATAACAGTGACAAAAATTCTCTTTATTTAAAGAAGTCTACTATTTCTTTCTGCTAAGATCAAAAGAAACCATGACAAAATGACTAAAGACTTCCTGCACTCCTCTTCTGTGTCTAAGACAGTCTGAATACCCACACATTAAAACTCTTTGGTTAAATTATTCTTCACACTTAAAACTATGACCCACTGAAAAAGAATTAAGGGCCCCCAATGCATTAGTGATATACAAACATAACATCAGACACTAAGTTAACTAGATCTCCCTTTAAGGTTACCAAAGCCCTAAAAAGCAATGAAACCACAATCTTAAAATAGCTGTTCAATAATCAGGGGCATTCCAATCCATTATATAATTATTACTTAGATGTGAACAGCCTTAACCATCTCTTGACATTTTAAATAAGTGATTCTTTGCTAACAGTACCTAATTACTGATAATACGCAAACAGTAACTACTTGGTCTTTCTGTGTTATCTCTTTCTTCATAAAAAGTTAAAATCAATTAGCAGCCTAAAGCAAAAACATTGCGAGAGGAAGGGGATCAATTTTAGCCTCACCAAAACCGATCTGTTTTGATTTGATACACGTGGAGATGGGTTGTCAGAGACGAGATGCACCTGGGGCTCTGGCTAATAATATTCTTTTATACTCACCAAAGGGGATTTAAAAAAAAATATAATAATTAGGACACCGTGTACTCTAAAACACTAGAAGAGCCGGGGAGTTTGGCCCCGGCTGGATGACTGTCGCCTCCAGGCTCCAGCCTCACTCTCTGCCACTTCTCCGGCGGCGGAGGCAGCGCTCAGCCTCCCAACTTCCTCCAGCACCGCCAACTCCTCCGGTAACTCCGGCTACTCCCGGGCGCTCTGCCACCGCACGCTGCCGGTGTTTACCGCTCCGGGCTCCCGCCCCCCCATCCATCCACCCCCCCACC